ATTAAACTTAAATCTAGATTGCATTTGTTGTTACATTTGTAACATACCGTATGACGTTTTAGAGCTGATATTTTTCACCAGCACTTACCGCTGGAGCCATCTGTTGGAAAACGGCGGAAGCAAAGTTATACACCCAATATATTTCGCCACATATCGTTTGTTTTCCTTTGCAATTATTTTCAAGAATTTTATACAAAAATAGAGAAAAAAGACAACTCTCCTAGGTTTGGTTAGCAATTGATTTTATTGTATACTGCTCAAACTGGTATTTGATTTATTGGACTGGAATATTTTTCCGAATTCATTAATTCGTCGTTTCTTTTTCCACAATCCCAATTCAAATTTAAACTTTGTTGAAGAGCAAATCAGAAATCCAGCCATTCGCCAGGTTATCGTAGTTCAGTGTTGGATTTCGATGAAACTGAATTTTAGTCCCGTCATTCATTTCCACCATCGGCTGACAATCTGAGAAGTAGTAGCTTCCATCGAGTGATCGAACTGCCAAACGAACTTCATAAATACGTTGAGGCTTAATCAGAATTGGCTGTGGCAAAGTCACTTTCAACCGATTATCAAAAAAACCAAACCATGTAGTAGATGTGCCTACATAAAGAACTTTTGGCGATTCGATTGATTGAAATGTAGAGTCGTTGCGTTCCATAATAGTTACTTTGACCTTCGTTCCGACTATTTCAGACTGGGACGTGTGTGCAGTTTGAATCTCTCCCAGCAACAGATCTTTATTCGATGAAAACGAAGTTACTTCTGGATTTCGTATGCCAGTCTGTCTCCGCGCTGGACCTACCATATTCCGCTGACATCGCAAAATATTACGATCGTCCCATGTTACACCTTTGATGTAAATCTCGCTTCTTGGAATTTGATTGAATATTCTCGGTTTGTGTCCCTTCACTGATATTGCAAGCATTATATCTTCGAACTCTTCCGATGTAAACAATCCTTTTAGCGGCACGTAACGTTCGAAAAATTCATCGTTTGTCATTGAGCCAAATCGAATTAACTTCAAACAGTCGTCGAGCTGATCTTTCAAATTCACCGCTTGTGTTGCATCCAAACCGTTTTGTTCGCATGCGTGTTTCGCCCATGTCAAACAGGCATCGAACACGTTGACTTCGTTGCAGATCAAACCCAGCCCCAAAATCCGGTTTAGAGTACTTTTTTCACAACGCTTAAATACATCGCTGGCAAGGACTTCCTTTGGCGAATTGATGATTTTTCTCTCACAGAACTTGATCAGTTCTTCATTTTGGAGATTTACGGCCAATTGATATCCCCAGCACATTTTGTCCAATGTCAGTTGGCTTTGTAGGGACACGGCGCATGCGTTGACATGTTCAAGGACATCGTATTTGTCGGCCAAACGAACAACGGTCTCGATATTTTCCATGGTCAGAGTCATTTCACCCAGGTAGAACAACTGGAGAAACTCTTTGAACGCTTCAGCATCCGCATCAGAGATGGGAACGTCTCCTTTCTCTGGCAAGGATCCGAAGAACATTGTTCTGAATACCGGGCTGGAAACAGCCAAATTCGCTTTGTTTGCCGGTACCTTTTCACTCTCATCATCAACGTTGAACACGAAATGGACATCAGCAAAATCTTCGTTGAGATATAGTTTTTGACACGCTCCGAAAGCAGCTGAATTCTCTAACACATTGGCCATTTCAATGATTGTAAACAAAACGATTCAAAACTATTCAATGAACTAACTATTTTTGATGTATTTTCTTTCGTTTTTGAAGATCAATACGAATACTTCTGCAAAATGGGTTTTCTTTCAGAGAATGACAGTTGATGTTCACACAAACGACGAAAAAGCAATGAGACATTCTAACAGCGCTACAAATTATGTTGCTGCGGATTGAATAAACCAATGAGCATTTGAGTGTTATACAGTGTTTATGTATTTGTGCACTGGCTTTGCAAGCAAATACATGCAAAACTAAGACGGTCATATCGCAATGCGTTATGGCGATATTATCGCATGCAGAAGGTGCCAATCACAGTTGTGATTGTGTGTACGTGAGCCGGGCGAATTCGTTGTGTTTCTTTTTTGAATTGAATTGGGTTTTGAATGTACGGCTTTTTGTTTGTTTCGAATTTTATCCGGAGATAGAATCTGAAAACGAATATTTTAGAGCAAAACTTCTACTTTCGACTCCGAAATCAGATCAATTACTTCCATTCTTAAATCTTTTTAAGCTTTTGAATAAAAATACTAAACTAAACCAATGCTATAATTGATTCTATTCTTTGAATTTGTTTAAATTGCCTTGAAGTGATGATTTTTTTTTTCGCTTATTCCAGATTTGGCTGTGGCAAAGGTGTTGAGTGATGATGGCGGCGTTTTGGGTTTCGTGAAATTGTGCTTGAAACAGAGCAAAACATTCAAAGATGAAACCATCAAGTCGTTCGAGCTGTTTGTGAAAGTTATTGAACTGTATCCAAAAAAGGTCGCCGCGTATGCAACAGATGTGGTGATCGTAAGTTGAGAAATAACACAATACTCCATTATCAGAATTATTCAATCAAAATTCCATGCATTCCAATAGAATTGCTTGCAATATGTTCGTTCGATGCAAACATCGGCCCGAGAAAAGGACAAAGCTGGCGCTGTGATTGAAGCATTGGTGTTGAAAAACTGCTGTGATTCAATCGATCGAATATACTTGATGAGTGAATTGCTGAAAATTGCACAGTTATCAAAGCCAGGAATTGGTAAACACCCATTTTCCACGTATTTTCATAACATTTTCCTTACTAACGATAAATTGATTGTTTTCTCTTCGTCTTATTCAGTTCAGTGTCGTATTTTCGGGTTGATCGGCTGTTTGGCGAAAGATTATCCGGATTGCATAGAGAATGCAGCAGAAGATGGCCTCAAAATCCGTGACATGTACTTCAAAGTGTTGGAAAATGCCGTTATCAACAAGCAAGATGTAATTTCTTTAATACAGTTAACAAATAATCTTTTCAGAGCACTAACTTATGCGCATAATTTTTGTAGACATCATTTGTGTCGCTCGCTGGAGCCTTCAATGGATTGAGTGATTTTTTGGAACATTTCGCACCATCTGAAGTGCACAAGGCCATATTTGCCGAACGCGTTTACAAATGTATCAAACCGATTGCAAAACCATTGGAAACATCACAGAAAGCGGTCCACAGAAGCGCGCTGAATCTGTTGGCCAGTCGATGCGAGCTGTTTGGCAAGCAAGTATTCGAAGATTTCTTCTACTGGCACGATTTGCTAGTGAACACATGGTTAAAAATGGATCAATTCGATAATCGTCGACCGGCCATTTGTCTTCTACGCGCAATGCATCGAGAAATTGCGAATCAGCTAGTTCAAAGCGATGATCCAGATCGATGCCGTGAAATTTTGACGTTTCTACAATCGTACTTCAAGACGACGTTAGAATCGTCCTCAAGTCAAACGTACGAAGTTCGTCTGGCCATTGTGGGCTTTGGCTTGATTGCAGCACCTTGCAAAAGACTAATGACGCCAGAGCATTTGAATGAACTGTTGCGTTTGGTAATGCAGCGCACAGAGAGTGCCGCAAACGCCGTCAATCAAAATAGTAAGGAACAGTTGGAACATTTTCCCGATTATGTTGAAGCGCTGTCGCGCATCATGGAGCAAATCAATCAGTTGTCTGGTATCCAGTTGAACGTTCTGCAGAATATAATTGTGTCGGTGATTCGAAATTTCCATCTGTTATCGGCTGCACATCATGAAATGACAATTAACACGCTGATGCGCACATTCCACAATTTGTCCGAGCTTGGCGATTCGATTGTCGACGACATTCTAGAGAAGGTCGTGTTGCAAGGAGTCATCTGGACATGCTCACACAAACTACCCTTTGATGCCAAAAATGATTGGAGTGTTGACACAGATTGGAAAGATCAAGTGACCTACGTTTCATACTTGCCATTGTGGAATGGATTTTTGGCCGAAGTCAGCTCAACCTCTTATGATCGCAATGCTGTTGTTAGCAAGATATATGATCAAATGATGCAAGCATTGTTTAAGATCTTGGTAAATATCATTTTCACTTCAAAATCAGCTTGAATTTCATCATTCGAAGAGTTTCCTCAATCGAAATAAAAATCTATTTCTTCATTTTCTCCTCTCAGGATAAGCTCAATCTCTCCGTAAACAAGCGAGTTTACCGTGATGAGCAAGGAAGAGATCAGGAGCTATTTTTCAGCGATCCAAATTATGACTTTGAACCGGTTCGTGTGAAAGATTTTCATATTTTCTTCAATTTGGTTGGCTTCTATCATGACGTACTCAAAGCACAAAGTTTGAACAGTCACAAGACGCATTTTTTGAAATGGATCAATCGTTTCGTCGAGGAAGTGATTTCAAAATCATTGAAACATCCGTTGGTGAGTGGTTTTGTACGGCTGGCACAGCTAATCCTCGGAATCGCCAATCGCTTGGATTATTTCGGGAACGAGCTGTACGAGGATAGTCAAATAAATTACAATGATGTCTACTACTACCTGAGCACAACCATACGAAAAGCGCAGCAGAGTAGCGGCGAGCTGCAAATTGCCTGCTTGAAATTGCTCTTCTCAGCGCCATCCTGCATGTTGTGCACTTTGATCCATGACATGACTCCTGCCTTCCAGCTGGCCTTTGAGATTGGCAAATCAAACGCAAGCCTCTTCATAGCCGGAATGGCATTGAGCGCTATCGAACGATACCTTGCACCAATCAGTCGTATGTCGGAAGAAGCGAAGCAGTTTCTGCGTGATGTGTTGCCGTATTTCGATGCATTTTTGCAAGGATTCAAGAATGATTCAGTAAAAAGTGTGGAAATTTCTCGCCATCGAATCCAAGGCACCAAACGAACTGCACAAAAATTGATCAAAGTCAAAGAAAACGACCTGCTAAAGTTCCAGAAAAGAATAATCTTATTCCTCGGCACTCTCGAACCAGAGTACTGTCTGTATGTCATGCAGAATAACGAAAATGCTACACTTGTCAAATGGAACAAAACGCCGCGAGTCAGTCTGAAACTGTATGGCCCAAATTTCAATCCAGAGATCCACATGGACACATTGATTCCGCGCATTTGCGAAATTGCATCATCGACAACGGATCGTCAGAAGAAAATGACCGCCTGTGAAATTATCCAAGCAACCATTCTCTATCTGATCGGCTCGGATAATCACGAAGACGAATTGTGGTCGAAACTGTGTAAATTGATGCTGGAACTTGGGTGTGATGGTGATGTGGGTGTACAACAAATGTTTGAACCGCTCGTGATGCAAACCATGCACTATTTGTCGAAAAGGAATCAACTACCCACGGCCGGAACACAAATCTTGTTAACGTGTCTCTTCGATGCCATTTCGCATCCAAGCAATTTATCGGTGCGTGATTTGGCATCACGATCCCTACGTGAGTTTCTATCCTGGGCATTTCGGCAAACAAATAAAGACCAAGTCAATGCATCACCGTTTAAAGTCGCAAATTTACTACAAAAACTCAAACTGTTCAACTCAGATGCACTGCATCAGAAACGGTTTGGCGCTGCGCTTGCATTCAATAACATTTATCGTGTGCTTCGGGAGGAAGACGCTGTTGTGAACATATACTGGTTGGACTTGTTGCATGATTTTTGTGTGAATTTCAAATTGAGCGAACAGCAATCGGAACAAAATGTGCATTGTCAAACGGATTTGAAGCAAGTGTCAGCGAGTTTGGATCATATTTTGCGAGTGCTGCGAGAGCACAAACATGTTTTCAACAAACCAGACGTGAATCGAGCTAAACCTGAGGCCTTTGCAGACTCATTGCTGTTGCACGCAGTTCTATGGTTGCTTGGCCAATGCAATAGCACACAGCACATGTATCGGCAAAAAGTGATGGAAATGTTTACTGCGCTGGCACCGTGTGTTGACGGCTACAATTCATCAGCAGCATTCATACGAAGCACACAAACCGATGATGCGTCAGTGGTTGCTTTGTGTGAAAATGGACTTGACATCGAGCATTTCGAAGCCCGATCGTTTGCCGCAATGTACGTGCGGTTGAAGCGATTGCACACAACACTGGATTGCTACATTTGGTTCATCGAGAACAATTTTATGCCCAATTGGAAACCGATTCTAAACCAAGGATGCATCTTTGCGGTGCTCGAGCACTACATGAATAACATTATGAACCGAAATTTCTTCGAAGGTGAACGTGATATGGGCTACGAGTTAATTCTGGAAAAGGATCGAATTAACGCAGAAAAAAGCGCCATTTTACTGTTGATCTTTCAATTTTTAAACAAAACCATGCCCATCGGATGTGCACCCGATGTGATTTGGCAGACACAGGAATTGATTTGGGTGATTGAAACGTCAGTATTTCGGCCGCAATTTCTTGAGTGTGATACGAAGAATCCAGAGTTTTTGTCAAAATTACCCAAATCGTTGGAATCATTCATCTCATTCACCAATCGATTTGCTTCGGCACAATTCAAAAGCGATTTGAACAATAAATTGGTACGCAGCACGACCGATATCTACGAAACATTGACCAATTCCATTGAAGAAATTCTCAATCGAAGCTCAATTTCAACATCGGACGCCAACAATTTGAAGGGAGTGGATTTGATGTGCAGTTTGTTTCGTACGAAGCATGTATTCCTAGAGGAAAGTCTTCGAGCAAACATCGATGTTCTGGCAAGCAAGGTTCTCTATCAAGTATTTGAAGGAGTCAAAGAGTGCCAAGGAAGTGAATTGATTGCCAAAACACCATCACCCGATACGCTGAAATTCGCAAGTCATCTGCTTGAAGTTTGTCTCTACAAAGAAGGCATTTACATCAATCTAATCGACTTGCTGCTAAACACAACCGATTTAAAACTGTACAACTCCATGAAAGCGATCAAGCATGGCAAACACTTTTTGAACTTGTTCAAATCGACCATTTACAAGTATTTCCTGAAACAAATCGAAATCGTGACCGAACGTTTGATATCGAAAATCCTACCACCAAATGTAGCCTATGTGCTGAACATGTTGATCGAGCTGACAGACAATGCGTACAAAGCTGGCTCACAGAATCTCCCTCAAATGAAGTCACTCACAAATATTGTGCTCGGAAAATGGTCGGAGATATTAACACGAGCCGATCGACACATCGGAATCACAACGAATTTGATTGAACTGATGGGACAAGTTGCGATGATTTGCCCGTATGAACTCACCGAAATCTCGAAAAAGGCATCGAATTTGGAAAAATGGCTATTGAATCTCATAGTGAGCGATGATTATAGCATTGAAACGAAAATTCAAGCAATATTCCTATTGCCATGTTTAATCGGCCCTGCAACATATGAACATCAAGAGGTACAAAGCGCACTGGAAAAGTTCCAGACCAAATATTTCCCGTTGTACACGTCCGAGCTACGACCGGGCAGTGTTGATCGAACCACATTTGAGAATGCATTCCAAGTCATTCTGGACACTATGTGCGCCTCGAAGTCACTGGTCATGTTGAAGTTCATAATCAATTGCACGGTACAAGACAGCGACCATATCATGGATCAGAAAATTGTGCAGAGCGTACAGAAATTTATAACTTCATTGAAAGCAGAACACCAACTCAACTGTTTGAATAATGTATTCGAGATGTTCAATAGCATTTCATTCGATTCGACAATACGTACAGCGTTGATGAAACGATTTCTTTCACACATGATTTTGAGCTCTGACAAAGAGACCATCACTCAATTTTATACGCTGCATATTCGCAAGATCGAACAGCTTTTGGAAACACCGTATGGGCTGCATCAGTCGGATTATAAGTTGGAACAGGCATTCACATCACGCATTGGCGGCTTTCAACTACTCGAAATTTTGGTTGTTATTTTTGCATACAACGAAATTATCGACAAAAAATTCCCCGTTCTAATTGCAAAAATGGGTGGAGGTGAGTTTCATTTTGAGATTTCCAAGTTTTTTTTTGAATTTTTCTTTCTATTTCAATGTTAACATGTCTCCCCTTCAGCGCACAAAATTCAAAGAGGTAACGAACTGTTGGCTTGGATGTCCAAGGCCTCCGCAACAAAGTTGGAAACATTTCAAACAACAAATGCTAAACACATGGAATGGTTCCGGAAATATCAATGTGCTGCATTCAAATCGCTGTGTGCCTTGATCAGTAACACAAAATCAGAGTTGAAGTTTTATGACAGTTGGATATTCCAGGAAAAGAATTGGTGGAACATCATCAATATCAATGACAACAATCTCTATACAAATCAAACATTGGAAGTGGATAAACGTCCCCAAATCAAAGAGCGAATGGTATCGATTCGCCGGTTGAAGCAGAACACCACCGACACAGCACCCGGTCGAAAGTATATCGAGTCACAAAATGTGTTTGAATCATCGCTTAGCCAAGATGTTACCAAAATCGATCTGAGTAGTTCGTATGTTCGTACGACGGAGGAAGTCGAGCATCAAAATCGCATTGCAAACTATCAACCGAAAACGCTAATGCTTGAGAAGAATTCAGTGAATGATCATGAGGTTATGGCGACAATTTGTGCGGTGATCGAGCATATGTTTGAAGAAAGTGTAACACCAATCAACGCAGATGGCACGGTTAGGAGGCAAAAACTTCCATGGATCGACACCATTTGCAATCCGATTGCTAACAAAAGCAACAACGTACACATAAATATTCGAATATTCTTGGTGACCGTGGTTGACAATTGCTCCAAATGGTTCCGAAACTATGCTGACGCAATGACTCCGGCAATCCTTAAATTTTTGCTTGATTGGACCACCGCGAATCGGTCAATTGATGCACTGACGATTTTCTGTTTGGTCGATATACTCGAATGGGACTCTGCGTATCGAATCACCAAAAATAGTGCAGTCGAAGAACAAGATTTGGCCAGTGCATTGATGGCTAATCTTATGGCCTTCGCTCACAGTCCACAACGTGAAGTTTTTCGTCGCAACTTGGAGCTTATTCGAAATTTGATGGAACGATGGCGTGATTTCATAAAATTGCCACATCAGCTTCTCTATGAAAAAATCAGCGATGAAAATGTTGAATCAAAATCAAATGCTTTCGGTCTTCATTTGAACGGCATCGTTCTCGCCAATGAGTTGGTTCCGTGGACGGAAGAGTCGAAAAAACCTTTTCTACAGGCAATTCGTGCTTGCCTGAACAACCATCATACCGATGTGTATCAGCCGGCCGCACAGGTTCTTGGGATGGCTTTGCATGAGACCATTGTGAAACAGAACAACGGTGACGTGGACCAAGAAACCGCGGAATTTATCAATGAATTGGTCATGCATTTGAAAGGATGGCAGCGAGCAAATGAGAAAAAATTCATGTACGTTATCTTTTATATCGACAAATACTACGTGATCAAAGAATTCATCACATCGATTGGCAGCTTGATAGCAACAAGCCCTTCGGATATGAAGAAATTTTACCTGCAAATGTTCCTGGCCCGTGTAAATGAGGCCGATTCACGTGATGTTGAGGTCATTCTACTTGATTTGCTGACTCAATCGCAAGAGCATCAACATCAACTAATCGGATTGCACATCTTTAATAAGGCCCTTCCAAAGATGTCTGTCACTCAAATCAAACATATTTTACCGCGTGTCGTATCATTCCAAGATGCAAAACAGACTGAAACACGTGATGTGGTGTACGAAATTATGAAGTACATTCGCGAAAATCATTCACGTGCTGACGAAGAACTCAATCGGCAATCGACGGACATTTTGTTGAAAGGGCTGAATGATGTGGACACAGATTTACAAAATGCCGTTTTCAAATATTGGAATGAATTGCCTGAGCTTCCAGCTGCTTTGAACGATCGGATTTTGTTCATGTTCCAGCATTTGTACAGTCATGATTTTCTGAAGTACGGCGTGCAATTGCTCATCGATTTGAAGTCAAACGATTTAAAAAATAGAATTTTGAGCACGCGTGCCGACGATGGTAAGGAAAAGTACACGGAATACGACATAAATGTGAATTGGAAGTCACAGGATAGCAGTCTTCGTGTACCATTGTTCACTGAATCACAGCAGAAGCAAATAATCAACAGTGGAATTGATGCAACACAAAGTTACCTACGAGCCACACAGCATACACTGCATTTTGATCCAACATTAGATCCATCGAGTCTGCATCAATCCAGTAAATCGTTTTCATTGCAATCGCAGAGTTCATTGCTCATCGGTGGACCAACGCAAGTGCTTGATCGACGATCGCAACAAGTGCAGCCAGAAGAAACGGTGAGCCGAACTAGATTCAGTTATTTGCGCGAACGAATTCTACGAAATAAAGATGCGGCTGGTCGTGAGAAGGCATTAAGTGCGGTGCGACGACGTGAGTATCAAAAACGAGAGCAGAATCAACAGCAGCAGCGCAAAGAAGGTCAAGTCACGCTCTATCGACGTTATCGTTTCGGTGATTTCCCGGACTTTTTCATCAATAGTCTTGCGTTTTTGCTGCCATTACAAGTGCTCGTGAAATTGGATCCAATTTTAGCACGTAACACATTTGTCGCGATTCTGAACGCGGTTTATCACCGTCTCAAAGAGGACCAGATGCAAACGTTTTTGAATGGACTTTCTGAAACCATTGCATCTATTATCAGACAGCCAAATAATTGCGACCCAATGCTGTTCAGTGCACTAACGGAAATCATCCTCACAAATGAGGCCAAAGTGCGAATTGATGCTGGCATCGTTACGGCCATACCAAATGCCAATGATATGATGATCAACGCAATTCTATTGCTGGAAAACCAAATAAATACCGTGGATGATGAAGCGAATGGCGAAACATGGGCCGAATTGGCAAACATGTACTACAGTCTATCGGAATATGATGTTGCCGCGAGTATTTTTTCGGATAAAATGACCACCGACAAACTGCTTACCAAGGCCATTGAATTCGAATCGAACGGTGATTATGAGAGAGCGTTGCAATCGTACATGAAATTAATCAACAAAAGCACCGATGATAGTCTGTGGAACAAACATGTCGCTGATTTCGCATATCAATCGTTATTCAATTGTTATGAGGAGATGGGACGATGGGAAGACCTCGAAAATAATGTCATTGGACAACTGAGCGATGAAGATGATTCGCAACAAATTCAATTCGAACAACTTTGGACCGACGAATGGAACTCAAAGTATATATTGCCACATTATATTCGATCCGAGGTACACACGCTGCTCTACACCTTCAGTCAATCCACCGAACCATTCATCGCAAATATCGAACAATGGTTGCGCAATCCCACACGAGCCGATTTCATAAAGAAACATTTTGGCGAACAGCTGATGATTTTGTCAATGGCCAACACAAAATATCTAGAGGCAAAGGTGTTCTCCAATCAATATTTCGAAGGCTTTTTGGATGATTGGAGCGCTATGAGCGTTTTGTCTGAAAAAATGCGCAGCAATAAATTGATGAACACGAGACGTGTAGCTGAAATGCACAAATACGCGGACTTATTGACCAACACCATTGACGACAGTATCATTGCAGAGTTGGCCGATCGTTGGTATCAAACGCAAATGAACACCGCCGACTCGACACAAATGTGGGAAGCATTGGTTTCATATCGAAATTTTGTAACTAAACACGCCTTGAATAAATTCTATCCGAACACGGCACCAGTTGTCGATCGATTGAAGGAAAGCATGTTCGATATGCGTTTTAAATTAAATGAAATCGCCGTGCAACAACAAAATTATGGATTGTCGAATATCGTGTTACGGCGATTAAATTCCGATCGGAGTACCCTGCGAAGTGAACGAAATACCATTCAATTTGAATTGTCGACTGTTAAACAGGAACAAAACAAGTGGATGAGTCAGAGCAAATCCGATCCAAAAGTGGCATTCGACAATTTGGTGAACATATGGACAAATCTTTGGGGGGTGCAGAACGGTCGACGCAATATTCTCGACGCAAATCCAGATTTACGGCTTAAGGTACTCGGTCAACTCAATGAAATAACCGATCAGGCAAATGAAATTGTGACGAAATGCGATACGATCGATGATGCCATGAAACAAAAGGTTGCTCAATTGACTGGAGCCTGGGACGATTGTAAGTAGCTCTGTTCAAATGGCTTGATTTGATTTTGAGTCTAGTTCAGTTCATCTCATTTATTCATGAAATTTTCCACGTGTTTTCCGTCACTTAAATTCGAAATTTAGAAACATTTCTTTTCCATTACAGCACAAAGTATGTCACAATTGATTGGTACATATGCCCGTCGATGCTGTAACGAAACAATCGCTCTGGCCGAGAAATGCGAAGAGAGTCGAGCACAAGCTTATTCCAGTAATTTTTCAATGAAAGAACATGACATCGGAGAATCCTACTATCGTCTCGCCATATTTTGTCTAAGACAATTGAAATCAGACACGCAGGAAAATCGATTGGAGACCACAAAATTATTGATCAAATCCATTTTACGTGGCATGCGACATGATTCGAAAAATGCTCGTCTTCAATTCCCTCGCCTACTGCAATTGCCGAACATTGATTCACCGGTGCTAACAGATCTTTTCAATGGAGAGGTAAGAGAAAAATGTGCTCTCACCACATTTTCATCATACTTTAAACATTCAAACTCACTTTCATCAGGTGAACGATGTGCCATTATGGATATTCCTTGGATGGACTACACAAATTGTCTCGCGTTTTAACTTCAAACACGAGTGTTTCTTGGACAATTTACTGCTTCGCTTGGCAACCACTTATCCGTCAACAGTGATTTACACATTCCAATTGGCCTACCGGCAATATTATGCAGAAAAACCAAATGCTCCCATCCGACCTGTCGTTCAACAAATGGTTAACGCTGTAAAAAATCCGATGATTGAGCGATTCATTGAAAATGTGAATTACTTGAGTTTACCCGACAAAGTTATGGCTTATCATTTGCATAATGTTATTGAAAAAATTTACGCCAAAACGGTCTATGAGTTGGTCAGAGAAGAATTGCAGACATGTTATGACAATGTATATGGAGAAGTGCGTGGGAAATCAGCAAAAAAAGTTGAATCGTTCAAACAAGAGTTCATTGCGCTGATGAAAATGGATGGTGAGTATTCGATGCTTTACGAAGGACTTTCAAAAACACAAGACCTCTTCTCTTCTTTTTTTCGCGAATAATCTTTTCAATATCGATTTTCAGACGTAACAAAGGTAAAACAAGGTGCGGTAATCTTATTGAAAAAGGTAAAGGACATGAATCACAAAGAAGACGACGACGATCTCAACCACTTCAGTCCTTATTTGGCGCAGTATCATTGGACTGGTGGAGACAATTTCATCGAATTACCCGGACAACATACAGGAAATGTAGCACCAACTCCAAGCAATACCCTGAAAATCGTTAAATTCCATGAAAAGGTGACGGTTTACAAATCTTTGCGTCGCCCAATAAAAATGAATTTCGATTGCGATGACGGCAAGTCATACAGTTTCCTTGTGAAGTACGGAGAAGATTTGCGACTAGATGATCATGTTCAGCAAATTCAAAAGCTGATGTCGGATCAAATGAAAGCGGATAAGAATTGCAGCCAACAGAAGCTGTCAATACGCACCTACAAAGTGATTCCATTGACTGTACATTGTGGCTTGATCAGTTGGGTCGAAAACACAGAAACAATCAAATCACTTCTGTCACAAAGTGATCCGAACTGGGATGCCATAAATGGTGTAGCAGTGAGAGAATTTCGACAATTTATTCATAAATTCCATAATGATTCATACAAAAACCCGAATATTGCTACTGTTCTTAATTACAAGCCGGATAATGTAAGTCCAACTAATTAATAGGTTAACGGCGTTGTGAAATTAAAATTCTAAATGGTTTTCTTGTCTGTTTTCACCTGAAGATCGCATGGAATTTGAAGAAATTGCAACAAAACATTCCTGAAAACGGTTTACGAAAAGCCATATACAAGCTGAGCGCATCACCAGAGTGTTTCTATGCGCTGCGAAACAATTTTGTCAAAAGTCTTGCTGCCATGAGCATTGCTCATTGGGTGCTCGGCATTGGTGATCGACATTTGGACAACTTTGTCATTGACCTGCGCAACGCACAGTTGATTGGCATCGATTTCAATATGGTAAGAATATAATACGACAATAAGAAGCGTTTAGCTCATTCCAATTTTTATCTATTCGGACTATTTCGAATTATTTTGTTTTTCTAGGCTTTTGGCGCTGCCACCCGAAGACTCGAGGTCCCGGAGTTAGTGCCATTCCGTTTGACCAATCAATTTGCAAATGTTATGAAGCCACTAGGAACCAGTGGATTTTTGATCAAATGTATGGCGCATGTGTTGCGCATGTTCCGCTTGGAAAGTGAATCGTTGATGGCTGCACTAGAAGCCTTCATATGCGGACCCAGTTCGAGCGAAAATGACTTTTTCATTCGAGGTGCGACTTCGGACGAAGCAATAGTCGATTCAGCATCATCAGATTTTCGAGCTTGTAAACCGGAGCAACATATCAGCACGATCAAAGATAAACTTAGCGGCATCAATCCCGTTATTCCAACCGAAAATGATCTTCAAGTCGGCTTTTACTGTTGGTATGTTTAATTGCATGAGAAAACTATATCCAAATAGAACAAAGGAAAATGAGTTGGAATATTTTTGTTCTTTTTTCAGTGATGCTGACATTACATCAAAGTATAAAAAGCTCCTGATTGGCACACCCGATCGATTTCGCTATAAATTAGCAAAACGTAACTTGACTGTCAAAGAACAAGTTGAATGTCTGATTGATATTGCCAGCGATCCTGCTATACTTGGTGCATCGTTTGAAGGAACTCGGCCATGGGTTTAAAGATACACGAAACACGATTCATGGGTCAACAAAGAAACAAGCAGCAACAACAACAACAACAACAGAAAATGAACAAAATCCAACAATTTTCAAAATGAAAGAAAAATACACAAAATAAATTGTGATATTCAATTTAATCCAAAAGAAAATACTTGTTACTGTACTTTGAAAGTAAAACCAATGGTTGAAACCAAAAATAAAAACAAATGATTACAGAATATGTTTCTCAGAAAACAATATGATGCATTTTTATTTGAAAAAAAAACGAGGATAAATTGGTTTTTTCTTTATAATCTGGCATTTCGTGGTCGTAATCACCTACCGGATATCCTCCATAAATTCACTTTTTATAATCATTCGATTATAATCCCGAAACGATTGATTTGATGAAAAAACAAATTGAGGAGAAGAAAAAATAAAACACGAAAATAACGGAACATTTTGGCCAATGTTCCTTAAGAAAATCGTTATTTTTGTTTAATTTCTGTATCTTATCGGGAAATTTGTGCTGGCAAAATGATTCTTGGATTTATTTGCTGTAGTTTTGATACTCCATTAGACATTGTACGTGGCATTCGTTGATAAATTTCCCGCAGATGCAAACTTAGAACCATACAGAATCTGTAGCTCGGATCAGCCTGAAATTTGACTTGGCAAATCCGAAAGGGAAAATGGATTTTGTACTGCAGATGCGTTAAAGAACGCAACGCTTTAAATTCAGCTGCTGAGCTCAGAAAAATTTATTTAGCCAGCAGCTGATATTATCGAAATACATTGTCTGGCTAACTGAAATGCTGTTTATTCAAAAAAATATTACAGAAAATGCAACATTTTTTGATAATTCTTAAATTAACTTACTTTCTTGTATGGATGTATGGATTAGATGGGAGGCTTTTGTCTTATTTCAGAAGCCATGCGTAGGTATGTGACCTTTTGTACAAATGTACCCAGAGACTAACTTACTTACTTAATTTTTCACAAGAAAAATGAGTCTAACTGTGATACTACAATAATGTTGGCCGTCGAACACTTTCGAACGCATTTTAAGCGCTTTTTTATCATTTTTTTTCACGAACAATTTTTTTTAAATTTTCGAATGAACGAACGAACGTTCGAAGCCAACACTATATACGATTTATATCAGCATGATAAGAAAATAATTTCTTATGAAAAACTTGATTTATTGCCGGATTTCTTTTCTTATTTTACTGATAAATTTTATATTTTTGGAGTAGAAAGAGTATTCACATAAATAAATGTCAAAAGATTCATGCTTTCTTTGCTACGAAATATACGAGGCAACGTAAAAACAACAAAAATATATTGAAACGCTGTGCAAATGCATGCAAATGATTACGAATACAAAAAATTCACCAGTTATAGAGGGTGATTCATTTATAGGTTTCTTCTTTAAAAGGAAAAAAAATCAATGAAATGACCAATATTTTGGCTTCAAAAGCTCACAAATTTTATGCCATTTAGTGTTCCTTTTTTGGCTGTCCCCCAACCCTCTATTTTCTTAGTTATTCTAGAGATTTTTAAGCCAAAATCCGGGCTATTAAAGCCTAAATATTGATCCTTTCATTGACTTTTTCGAGTTTGTTTTCCTTTTAAAAAAGAAACCTCTAAATGAATCACCCTTTATCTCTTTTGTTATATATTATTATAATTTAAAATAAATGTGATCTCATGCAGTATATAATCCCGATATAATCCTTTCCCATAGCTATAAATGTTCAACTGTCGTCAGAATAGCCACTCAGTGTTAAAAATTATTTCAATCTATCAACTTTACCAAACGTTTTTGGCAAAAAAATTCTCAACATTTCAATAATCAATTAAAAAAATAAAAATTCTAAAAATTCATAGAGTTTGAAAGGTTTCATTGTTCCAAATACATGGATATAACGGATAACATCAACAATGCCAATAAAATGGGCAGTAGTTTTGATAAATTTCGTCTGTTAATGTGGAAGAATTTTTTGATACAATACCGACATAAAGTTAGAACATTGCTCGAATGTTCTGTTTTTACAATTGTATTTTTTCCGCTGCTTATCTTCATATATGTAAACAATTTATCCACAAATAAATTGGGAACGCTTCTGTCGTTTTCAATACTATTATGTTTCGTCCTTCCCATTATGAATACAGTACACTCGATATCAATTGAGAAAGAGAGGCGATTGAAAGAAATCATGAAAATAATGGGCATGCAAAATTGGTTATTTTGGGGCACTTGGTTTGTTCATACAATTATAATAAAGATGGTGTTCGTCACATTTATCGTCCTGACCTCAAGCGTAATTGAAATTAAAATGTTTTGAATGTATTTATAGTCGTTTAAATTTTATGTTTCATTTCTCTTCCAGTTGTTGATCACATTTTCGAATTGGCTGACGGTCTGGATGTTTTTATTCGTCTACAGTATTTTGACGACAACTTGTTGTTTCCTATTGAGCGTGTTCTTTTCGAAAGCAAATAAAGCGGCAGTTTTTGGAATGGTGATGTGGGTTGGTTTATACCTTCCGTATTATTTGACATTGAAACTATCTTATGAATGGAAACTATTGGCGTGTACATCTTCAAACACAGCCCTCGCATATGCTTTCGATACAATATTCTATGAATTTCAAGATACAGAGGGTAAACAAGAGTGGTATGAATTTTGGAAAATGACCACAACCGACGAAAACATTACAATCGAAAAAATCATGTGTGTTATGCTGTTCAGTTCAGTTATTTATTTTCTCATCGCACTCTATGTGGAGAAAATTTGGCCCGGTGAATATGGTGTACCGGAAAAATGGAATTTTCCATTTACAAAAGAGTTCTGGTTTGGCGGCGACGGTGGCTTATCTTCCGACGATGATACGAATAATTTTGAAATGGTCAATGACATTGACCAAGATGCTAATGATTACATTGAAATTCCACGAAATTTGCATGCCTCAGTCAATGTGAAGAAATTGGGTAAAACATTTGCCAATAATAAAAAATCCGTGGTTAAAGATCTAACATTAAGAATGTATGACGATGAAATAACAGGTAAAATATACCATATAAAAGCTAAAAACTGTTTAATATATTAATTTCTCAATAATTTATAAAAGTGTTGCTCGGACATAACGGTGCTGGGAAATCCACGGCGATATCAATGATGACTGGCATGATCTCACCCACAACTGGAACAGCGTTGATAAATGGATATGATATTCGGAAGAACATCGAAAAAGCGAGAGCATCAATTGGACTGTGTCCACAGAACAACATTCTGACGAGTTAACAGTACGCGAGCATATAGAGTTTTTTGGCCGTCTAAAGGGCTTGACCAATGCAGATATTCAAGGCGAAGTGGATAAGTTTGTCGATCAACTGGAATCGAGGCCGAAGATTAATACTTTATCGAAGCATTTGTCGGGTGGTATGAAGAGAAGGCTTTCCGTTGCTCTTGCTTTCTGCGGCCGATCGAAAGTGGTGTTTTGTGATGAACCAACTAGTGGTCTAGATCCGGCGGCTCGGCGTGCTCTCTGGGATCTATTACAGAACGAGAAAAAAGGTCGAACCATTTTGCTGACAACACACTTTCTGGATGAGGCCGATGTTCTTGCTGATCGGATCGCGATAATGGCAAATGGTGAACTCAAATGTCATGGCACGCCGTTTTTCTTGAAAAAACGCTTTGGCACCGGATACCGCTTGGTTTGTGTGAAAAATGATGATTGTGATTCGAATGCTGTGACGAATATGCTGCGTAATTTTATCCCTCACCTTGAAGTGCAGAAGGATATTGCGAGCGAATTGACGTACCCGCTGCCATCCGAACATGTAGACACATTTGGAGCGATGTTCAAGTGCTTAGAGGACAATCAAACAATGTTGAAACTCAATAGTTTCGGCGTTTCGCTATCAACAATGGAAGAAGTTTACTTCAAATCCGAGTTGAATATAATGATGAATCCAAATGTTGAAACATTGCCACTTAATACTGGACCCTTCTCCCTATCGGACGTTTCGCTATTAAGTGGCTTTCGTTTGTATATAAATCAATGTTTCGCTATGTTTATTAAGCGATTCCATTGTTGGAGACGCAATTGGATATCAATTATCGTACAGAATCTGGCACCGATCTTTGTTATGGAATTGGCCAAGAAAAATCCAAGTGAAATGCCATTGATAACCACAATGTGGTTTATACCTCCATTTTATGTTATGTTCTATATTCGAGAAAGGATTTCATGATCGAAATTGCAACAATACACAAGCGGCATGGACATAATCACATTTTGGATGACTTCGTTTGCGTTTGATTTAATCACATTTACTATAACTGGTGTGGTGTCAGTTTTTGCAATGGTTGCATTTGGAAAAGAGAACTGGTCAACAATTCATGAAAAATTATTCATTTTCATTGAAACTGGTGTGGCTACTTTGCCTCTTGTGTTTGTATTATCCTTTATTTTTTCAACCCCATCGAGCGGATTTGTTTGGACAGTCGTTCTTTCGTCATTCGAATGTAAGTTCTTGTTGTTCCAATATTTCAAAATTTGTGCGAATAATACCCATTAATTTATATTTTTCTTCATTTCAGACATTTTAATAATTGCTGTAAAAGAGGTGTCATCCCAAGAACTTATCGATACACTTGAATGGCCTTTACTTGTTCTTCCTTTGTCATTCTCGGTCATTGGTCTTCATAACATCTCATCTATTCCTATAATACCACGTAAATTCAAATTAAAATGCCCATTTTTCTCGTCTTCAAGCTCATGTTTCACTCTTGTGTTTGCTACTTTTCACACAGATCGATTTACTTGGAACAATCACGGACGGAACTTGGGGCATATGTTTGCAACCAGTGGTTTCTACTTCGCGATTCTTTTCATGATGGAGTATCGAGTATTCACACGAATTGTTGATTACACTCGAAACATATTAATGGGAAAGCCATTGCCACCGACAGATTTTATCGACCGAGAAGTCGATGCGGAGAAGAATAAAGTGAATGACATGTCTTGGGAGGAAATGTTTAGTACCGATTTAGTTTTGCAAAATCTATCAAAGTCTTACAAGGATTTTTTTAGCCGTTAATCAAATTTCCATCGCAATTAATGGGTACTAATAATATTTATACAATTTGATGAAATTTAATTATGAAACAATACATCATTTTCCGATTAAATAATAGTGGTGAGTGCTTTGGACTTCTTGGGGTGAACGGAGCTGGCAAGACGACA